AGTGCTGGGATTACAGGCAATGCCCATACCTAGTATCAATGAGGGCCAGCACAGCAGGCCTGGGGATAGAACTACTAGCCCCTGCGTCTGCCTAAACAGGCACTTTTAATCCACTGAGCTATTTGGCTGGCCTTCGTTTTCTTTTTTACATTTATTTATTTATTTATTTGTGGGGGGGCAGCTCAGCCCACCAAGGGGCGGGGCTGGCTGACATGTGGTGCTGGGGGATTGAACCGAGGTCCCTGTGCTTTGTTTAGCTTAACTTGTTCTAAGTAGGTGCTTTAGACCACTGAGCCATCTCACTAGCCCCTTCTTTTTATTTTTCTTTACAATTTTTTTCCAGGCTGGATGAGGTCTGGCCCTGAAACCCAGCTCTCTTGGGAAATGAAGAGCAGTCACTGGGGCGGGTGAGATAGCTCAGCAGTCTAAGCATCTAAGTGCCATGCAATGCCACTGAAATGGAGAGGTGGTGTTTGCCTGTAATCCAAGCACTGGGGAGGCTACAGCAGGAGGATCTCTAGGAGTCCAAAATGCATAGCAAAACCCTATGCCAAATACATAAATTAGGAAAAAAAAAAAAAAAGAAAAAAAGAAAAAAGAGCACCCACTTCTCTTTCTTAAAGGACCAGAATCCACACAGGGACAGCTTCTTCCACCAGCTTTTGGGACACACTGGGCTATGTCAGGGTCAGGATGAATCAGCCACATCAGGAAAAGTTCCTTCTTTCCTGCTCCCCTTCCCAGGGAGGGCCCAGGAATGTGTGAGGTGGGTAGGGAAGAGCTGACATATTCATTAAACCAGAATCCAGGGCTCACTGTTTTTAAAATATAGATTTCTGCCACTCCTCTGTTCCCTCCCAATTCCTGTCTCATAAATCCAAGTAGAGGGCAGAGTGACCGGAGCTTTTCCAGGATTTGAATTCTGCTTCCTCACTCAGCAGCCATGCCTCTCTAGACAAGGTACTTAAATCCTTTAAGCTTCGTTTTCTTTGTCTGGGAAATGAGGAGAGTCCTGGTCCATAAAATTGCCCACCCTGGGCTTCAATTTGTGATAATCCTTCCTCAGCCTCCCAGAATGCTGGGATTATAGGATGAAAATTCCATTCTCACCCCTGGCTGGCACACTTCATTCTCTTTGCCTTGAATTCCCTTCCCTAGCTGCCCTCTGACGTTCAACCTGAGCCACTTCTTTTGGGAAGCCTTCATTGACCTCATCATAGCATTTGTCATTCCTTCCTCATTAACTGTTTCCTGGTTCCTCCACTGACCTCAGCGGCTGCAGGGCCCAGCATTGATCACCCTTTGTACCTGCTAAGCAAACGCAGTATCAGTGATTACTTGCTGAAAGAATCAATGAAAACAAACGTCAGCCAATCTGGGGTAAAGCTAGAGGAACCAGTAAAGAAAGACCGATTTATCAGAGCCTTGTTTGGAACTCAGGCCCTGAGACCAAGTGTTTCCTACCCCAATTCTTTTCTCTCTCTCTCTCTCTCTCTCTCTCTCTCTCTCTCTCTCTCTCTCTCTGCCTCCTGCCTCAAACTTCCTGAGTGCTATGATTACAGGTGTGCACCACATGGATGGCATTTATTTTGCGGTATTGAGGACTGAATCCAGGGCTTCCTCTCTGAGCTATAGCCCTAGCCCTCTTTAAAATTTAAGCTGTGGTGCTGGTGAGATGGCTCAGTGGTCTAAAGCACCTACTTAGAACAAGCTTGGGGGACCGCGGTTCAATCCCCCAGCACCACATGCCAGCCAGCCCCGCCCCCTGGTGGGCTGAGCTGGCCACACACAAACACACACACACACATAAATAAATGTTTAAAAAATATTTTAAAAAAACATTGAAATATACACTCAGTTCTTTTTTGTTTATTTTTAATTTTAATTTTTATTTATTTATTTATTTTTTGGTTCGCTCAGAATGCTTTCAGGGCAGGTTTGGCTGGTTTGAGTTCTGGGAATCGAACCACAGCAACCTGAGCTAACTGATTGTTTAAGCTGGCTCTTGAAGAGCTGAGCTAAGGGGCAGGACCCCCCAATTGTTTATTTTTATTTATTTATTTTTTGGCGGAACTGGGGACTAAACTCAGGCCCTTGCCCTTGCCAGGCAAACGCTTATTCTACTGCGCCATCTCTCCAGCCCTTCTCAGTTCTTTTTTATATTGCCCATTAGTCCGGCCAAGTGACACACGCCTGTAAGCCCAGCATTCCGGAGGCTGAGGCTGGATGATTGCGGCTTTCAGGCCAACCTAGAGTAAGTAGTGAGTTCAAAACCAGCTTGAACTACATAGTCTCCAAAAAACAACAACAACAACAAAATAAATAAATAGCTCAGCCTCAGGTCAAACTTGCGATTCCTTTGTACATCCTCCCAGTGTTTCTACTTTTTTTTTTTCTTTTCAAAGTTTTATTGATAAACAGCAATGAGAATGTTTCAAATCAAATCGGAAGTACAGTTTCAACAAATAATACACTGCATATATTCTTCTTAGTGGTTAATTGCTGTACAAGAAGTGTTTCTACTTTAATTCTTTTTTTTTTTTCAGAACCGGGGATTGAACTCAGATCCTTGCACTTGCCAAGGAAGTGCTTATTCCACTGAGCCATCTCCCCGACCCCTTTACTTCAGTTCTTTTTTTTTTTTTTTCTACTTCAGTTCTTGAGTGGGAGCCTCAACCTGTAAATTCCAGGCCTTCCAGGAACTTGAAACCTATTGCAAAGGACACCAGCCACCACCCCTGCAAACTCAAACCTCTGACGACGGCGGGCTGAGGCTCCGCCTCCTCAGCGCTAGACTCCGCCTCCTCTTCCTCTGCAGTCCTGCTTTGGGCCAGACGGCGACGCCCACGAGGCCGCATGCGCAGTGCGCGGCTAAGCCTCTGCCCTTCTCCCTATGGCGAACAGCGGTCCCATTCCCGGCAGCCTCCCTCGGGCAGGGAGTGCGTCACTTCCGGTGGGGAAGGCCCGCCGCCGCCGCCGCCATTTCGGGCG